CCCGCCCCCCAACCCTTCCCCCCGCCCCGCACGGGGGGGCGCACGCACGGTATCCGCGGGTATCCGGGGAGCCGCGGGGCCAGGCTGCCCTGGGTACAGGGCTGTGTCGCAGAGAGGCAGGCCGGAGGAGAGATGAGGTGAGGGGGACGAGCATGGGGAGCCAAGCCGCAGGAGGTGAAGGTGATGCCGGTTTCCCATTTTTCCCACAGGCTTATTCTCCCCCCGATGCCAAGTCATCCCCCGTTTCCCGCGTGTTACAGCCCCCTGACATGAGCCCTGGGGCCAGAGAAGCCACCTTCCCTGCCAGAGGAAACAGGGCTTCTCCTCTTGGGAGGCAGAAATACCTTGGATCTCATGTTCATCACCTTGGTTGGTCAACATCATTGCTTGTCTTTAACGTGGGCTCGCAGCCGTGGCAGTTCATCTATAAAAGAGGAGGGAAGTGCTATGCAGGCCTTGTATCCTACCGCACCGCAGGGGTGGCCGCACACTGGGAAGGTGGAGGGGATCTCCTGGAGAGGGGTGGTGGGAGCTCCCTGAAGGGTCAGCGTAATGCCAGGAGGGACCTGGGTCAGGTTGGAGCTGTGCAAAGGGGGAGGTCACTGCAGTCCCAGGGGAGGGTCACGGGTGGGGGTCTGGAGCAGCTTGGGACCATGCCAGGGAGCTGGGGGAAAGGGTGTCTAGGATAGGAGCTAAACTAGGGTTGGTCACAGGTGAGCCCCAGTGCACTGCCCTGGTGCACCACCTTCTGCTTTTCAGGGCTCCAGGCTACCCCTCACCCCAGCAACCATTTGCAGCCCCAGCACGCTGGCCGCCCCACCATTTGTTTCACATTGCCCACAATGTTCCCAGCTGCAGGGACCCTCAGTCTCAGCTCACCTTCTCTGCGGTTGTGGTCACAGCCCTGGTCCCAGCAGGTGATGCTTGGCAGTGGCTCTGTTGTCCCAAATAGACCCTGGCACAGCCACCCCAGGCTGCGCAGCCCCTGCTCAACTACAGCACATTGGATGTAGAGGGGCCATTGCTGTTAGTCCCACTGGCTGCACCTGGGGCCTTCTGTCCCCAGCCTCCCAACCCACAGCTGTAGCTGGTCAGGAACAGGAACCATCACCATCAGCCCCATTAGGGACAGCTGGGGCTACCAGGGCAGCAGAGCATGCCCCGGCTCCTGAGAGCAGCTTGCTGAAGAAAAAGGAAGAAGCCCTGGAGTGCACTGAAAAGAAAAAGGATGAGTTTTAAGGGAAAAGAACAAATTGAGAGCTATGGGGTGCAATGAAAAGAAGAAAAACACTAGAGGATGACAGGGCAAACCAATGACTTTGGGGGGCACAGCCAGCCAAAAGTAGAAGGCCCAGTGGCAGGCAGAATCCCTGTCTTCCAGCACCATCCACACAGACCCCAGCCCTCTGTCCCAGACACACTGGGGACATCTCAGGGTGCAGAAGGCAAAGTCAGGAGCAGCCTGGGGACCTCATGCAGCCCCGGGGGGTGCCTGGCTGCCCCTGGGATAATGGAAAATGCCACCAACAGCCCCGAGAGTCCATAAATCCCCAGCAGCCCTGTGAACAGTGCTGGAGTTCTCTGGGGGACACCCCCCCCGCCCCAAAAAAAAAAAAAAAAAAAAAAACCAAAAATGGTCTCAGAGACCTTGGGACCAGCTCCCACTCCATCAGAAGCAGTAGGTAGCCTCCCTCCCATGGGTACTGTCCTCAGACACTTCTTACTGAATATAAAGGGACTGCAGGACCCACAGCCACAAGTGTAAATAATAAAGCAATTATTAATGCGCCTAACACCTGGGAGTGAGTCTGCCATGGGGCTTGGTGCCAGTATGCTCACCCTTCCCCTGTGACCCCTTAAGAGTTGTTACTGGAGCAGCGTTCATCAGTCTGGTGGGGAAGGGTCAGCTCCTACTGCAGCCCTTGCTGCGGAAAATTGGTGAGCAGCTGTGAGCCTCCCCCCAGCTTTTTTTGGGAGGGATAGGATTCAGCTCTGGTATTTGAGAGGAAGATGCCTGACCTCACCTGTTTGTTCCTCTGCCTTACCCCTTGATTAGAACTCTGCAAGAAACTCGCAGAGCTCTCAGGTCACCCACCACCTCAGCAGCCTGACTCAGTGCGTCGTGCCTGAATACCAAACTGAGACCTTGGATCAGAGCACAGAGCTGAATGCTGGGTGATTGGAAGATTACTGTAGTGATCTTAACCAGAAGACTATTGTACGATCGAGGAGCTAGTGATCCACGTAACAGTTAACCTGAGAAGGTGCAGGCCTGAGCTTGTGCTATGCTGCACATTCAGCTTCACCTTCCAGCCTGTGTTGTGCTGTGCATATCCCTTGCTAATAAAGTAAACTTAGCTGGCTAACTGAAATAAAGGAGCCTGTAGGCAGCTCCCACTTAGCACTGGTGATTATAGCATTTGCTTGTCTTTATCGTAAAGTGAAGCACGTGAACATCCTTTTGTTTGATGACAGAAATTATGAATAGAATTATTTTCTTCTAAGAAAATCCTGTAAGAGCTCTAAAGACCAAGACGTTGATGGAACCTCCCTACAGAGGGGATCTGCACGATATGCAGGTCCTTCTGGTTCTGTGCAAATCAGAGCTTCCAGCATCTGAAGGACACAGAACTATCCATACTAACTGCGTTTTCCTTCTGGCGTTAAGTTCAATAAATGGAATTTTAATCAATACCTTGTGGAGTGTGAGTGCCTTTCTCTCCAGGATCAATAGCCCGAAGTTTATTATGATGTCAGGATTTAGACCTGTCTATTTAATAGTAAGCTGTAAACCCTGAACTCTAGCTGAAAAACTGCAAATCTCGGAACCCAGATGGTTGCTGGGGCTTTACAACTTATGGCTGAGGTTAAATTTTAAAACCTATGCCCTGAGCAGTAAATGTGTAAACTGTGAATCCTGACTGATAAATACCAAGTCCCACAAAATTAACAGGGAAACCACAACACCTGAGTGAGAAACCAGCAACAAGAAATTCTAAACAAAAAAACTGCGCAAGAAAACCTCCAAACCCTCAGTTTTATGCAAGAAAAAACAAAGCGCATGCAAGCAGGAAAACAGTAAAGAGAAGCCAAGGAATTTCTGCCCACAGCTTAAAATACTTCCCCTTTGTTTGTGAGTGCAGCAGAACTGTCAGACACGTCACAAACACTTTACAGTTGCTGTTTATAAGCTTGGTTTTAGCCATGGTTCAAATGTGACCATATGCAAGAAGCGACACATAGGATTGTACTAAGCTGCACTTCCACTGAACCTACCTGCTGCACTGTGAGCACTAATTCATGTGCAGTACCAACAAACATTTGTGTTATCCAGGCTATCCAGAAGATGGCACACAGAGTCCATCGTCCAGAACGAGGGTAAAACTACAGACAGGGAAATATTTATGATGTAAACGAAACATGTTTTTAGCCTATTAACCACATTGTGAGCATTTCTAGTCAAGCTACCTAACCGCTCAGGCACCTGGCTGTCTTCAGTCTTCGGTGATGGTACTCCTCAGGGAAACTGCAGTGCAGACAGACACTGCAATGTCAGAAGTGTGTGTTTGTCTGTCTTGGCATGAAAAAACATGTAACATAAAAAGAGGAAACAAGCAGTCCTCTCACCTATCCACTTTCTCATTCAACACAGGCAAGAGAAGGAAAGCTAAGACCTCAGACTCCCAAGCAACCATCCATTGTCATGCCCAAGAGCACTGCCTACTCAGTGTGCTACCACCGGAAACACCCCTCTCACTCACCTGACAGCAAGGAAGCCAGCCCGCACTCCAGTCCTCTGTGTCCCACACCCCACCTACACTTCTTCACTTAGCACTTCTCCCACAGAAACATCAGGCACACAATACCCATGGCAGATGAATTTTTTTGTCTCCTCCAGACCATTCAGAAAGCATCCTCTAAAACTCCAAGCACTAGAGAGACTAAGCTAATGGGAAACAGACTGTAGCCAGGACAATGAGAGAAGCAGGGTTTCGC